TATTCATTTACATCACCAACAATATTCAACGTACCAAACTGACCGGATTGAAGTTATGTATTATTATAAACTTTACAACTATTTAACATAATTTTAAATTTATCCGACGTTTCGCGTGCTTTTGTCAGCAGCGTGCGTGGTCACGGTGATTATGTTAAATAGTTGTACATTTATAATAATCCCCCGCGGCAAAAAATAAAGAAGGGTATAAAATATTTTTGAGAGCCAAAAAGCCGCTGGCAAAAAAAATAGCCGACGGAAAGTGTCTGGGAGATGACAATTTATTTTTAACTTCAATACGGTCAAAATAGTGTTTTATTAAAAGAAATGAATGCATTGGCGACGCGATTTGGCGACGCAGGGACGCCAGACGTAGCCATGGTAACGTCACTGGCCACGTCGCCATGGCGTCTCGGTGAGGTATGGGCCTAAATGAACTTATATATAGTATATAATTAAAGGAAAAATCCTACGAAAAAAAAAATTACAGACTGTCAATGTCAACGAGTTATCTGTCAAAGTCTGACAGTGATAACCACGACTTGACTGCCTTCGAATCGGTGACATGTCTATAATCTAGACTTTCCCAATTTTGTCGCAAGTTTGAATTACAGCTGTGTATCTCGTTCTTTCTGTGCGCAAATGTCACTTGTGTGTACGGTAAAGAAAACGTAATGTAGGTATGAAAATGATCAAAGAAACAAATTTAGAAATGCTTCCATTCCTTTTGGTTGCAAAGATATTTATACTCTTAAGGACGCTTACAATTTTCGTTTGAATAACCATTTTATTATATGCTAACTAAACAGTGTTTACAAGGTTCAAAGATGCTACTATCTGTTGTTGTATAAAATAAATATAGAAGCTAAGCTTCAGTGGAACTCTGTCACATTTGGAAAATACTTTTTATACTATCTTTATAGTTTTTCAGTGAAATTATTTAAATATTCATATCGGTTCGGGCCAACACGACGAACATACGTTCTCGAGGTAATAATATACGTGAGCCAGTACATTGTCACAACATGTCTTAAGAGGGGAATCAATTCTTATTTATCTACGAACATATAAAAGTTCTATTATACTTGAATATGTAAAAATGCTTCAGAAAAAAGGAAACTTCTAGCCAAGTAACAACCCGATAGGGGCAGACATTTCTTTATGTTTTAATCAATATTTTTTGTCAGTCAAGAAGGCTTTCCTGCTTATAATCCTGATAGTACTTTTTACGTAATAATATATTTTAATAATGTGATATTTTATCACTACAAATAATATAAGATTTGATTATAATGATATGACTGAATGTATGAACTTCTGTGAAAATTATTTTTGTGGCAGAATATGCTTTATATTGTACCACCATAATATGTTTGTATTACATTCTTGCAAATAAATTATTATTATTACTGGTTCAATACAATATATTTTACAGTTTAAATGAGTCTAATCTAAAAGGTCTAGGGAGATGAATAAAACACAAAATCACTGTTTATCACTTTTTTATAATTTATTTTCACAACATTTTTATTTAGTTTTCTGTAAAATTTACAATAGCTTAAAACTCTTCACAAATATAAACATTATGTAACCCAACAACAGCGAGCCCACGCCTCGTGTTATACGAAACAGGCAACTTGGAAGAGAAAATATATGAATAAGTGTAAATATAAGCTACCTCAACTCGAAGAAATCCGAATTTTATTTATATGTAAATAATAACAGCGCCAGTGAGATTATCTTCACTTCGCTTGATTTGAGAAGAACTGTAAGGGTCTATTTGATCTTGCCCTCGACGGGCAGTCAAGCAGGGCGTTGTGTTGACGTCACTGAATATTTCTTATCCCACACCAGCCTTGGTAAGAGGATAAACGCAACGGGAATTAAGATTCAAAATTTTTTTAAATCTTGGATATAGAATTCGGATTTATTCACTACAAGAAAGGTATTCAAAACTTATAATAAGCTTATACGTCTAAAGCTTTATGTACTAGCATCTACTCTAGAGAGTCTGGGGCCCCGGCTTCGCTTGTAACATATGAGCGGCGGGACCTGACGCCACTCCGATAGTTCGACATTACAGTTGACGACAATTGAACGACTAGGACAAAGTAGATCGATTAAAAACTTCAAAGTTTTATTCAGAGTGATAAAATAATATTTGAGACTTGTCGTTAATTTATTAAACGTGTATCTGATAAAATAAAATTCTATTTGATTTTAAAAAATCTCGGATTTTTACCAATGAAAGTTAATATTTTACACACTGTAATATCGAACTTTAACGACTTTTAGTACTTTAAATCTTTCGAAGCAACGTTTTTACATTTGTGTGTTTTGTTTAATATCCGAAACAGCCACTTTGTTCTTCAAATTTCCCAAAAATCAACGACAAACATTTATGTGAAAGATTATTAAATAGAAACACACAAACGGTTTACAATGCATAAGTAGAATAAAAAATAATTAAAAATAAGGCTAGCTGAAAACTGTTGGTAACTATAGAAAAATAAAACCCTAAAAATATCATGTCTCTCGATTTTTATTGTTAATATTAAGACCGTTAAGGAAGCAATTGTAAAAGCCTATTGGGGTCATTGCAAAAATCTTTATCATGTCTATCGAATACTTAATAAAAACCATTTTAAAATCATGCAACGCGCAATTTGTTAATTTTATTTAGCTTAATACTTATTTACTGAATCCAAAGACAATTAAAGATGCTTTGTAAAACTATACAAAAATAAAAAAAAATACCTCATTATACACGACCTTAAAAATTTTGGGTCAAAAGAGTAAAATAAATCGCCCATATGCTAATATGGGTAAAGGTCAACGCGATTTATAATCCACTATTTTATTAAGTATTCCATGAATAAAAATTTCCCGTATAGTCTCTCCAGGAGGTAGATTTAAGAAAAAGATTATGCCAATAGTGAAACTACGTTATAATTAATAATCACAGATGACCGAATCTAACCATCCAATTAAAATAAAGTCCATGAGAATCATTTCTCATCAATAGACATGTTGATAATTATAAATTAATTGAATGATGAGATTCTGTATTAAAAAATTACAGTAACAAAAGCGATTTATAAATATCCGTCAAAAAGATCACAAATCACAACTTAGAGGCCTGTGTCGATAGCGTAGGCCGTAGACACAACGGAGCAGACAAAATTGAATGTTGTTTAGATATCCCGAAAGGCGGTCATACCTTGGCTTCGATCTCTCGATAGCATCCGTAAGCGTATGTCCACCTTCAACTACACTTATTAAAGTGTACCAGGCGAAATACTAGTGATAATCTTAATAAATGGAATATAGTTTAATTTCTCAATAGCTACATTATGTATTTTAAATTACATCACTAAGTACATGTGGTCTACGTCTAGGTACATCAAAAAATTGCGCTGCGCTCCGTCCATACGGTCTCGTTCAGGATAATACGCAATAATTACATAGCTATGTTTAATCTACATGTGGTAATCTATGGTACATTAGATATAAACAATGGAAGCTTTTTATGACAAGAACGCAGTCAATGTAGAAAAGTCATCTGAAGCGAAGGGTGAACAAAATTTTGTCAAATCGGTTAAATGAGATCTTAATTTTGTTTCGTGAGCAAGATAGAAAAATTCGTTCATAAAATCGTTCATTGTTCCGAAGATCCTTAAAGATAAGCAGATTGTACTCAGTACTCCGGACCTAGACAACTTAGAATTAGTCCATACAATTGTATACATATAACTTTGCGTTGGCAACTAGATAAGACATGCACGATTTGGCCGGACACTGTTTACACCATTCGTATCACTATTAAATACAACAATAATATATCTCTATCGAATTTAACTAGATAATATGTTATGTAAGTATATAATCCTCGACAACATTATTCTACAACAATAACATCACAATTTCGCATATCGACTACTGTTTATCGAAACTTAAACATGTTCCTAAGTACTCTGATACATGACTTTACTACTTGTAAATGTTCTTAAAATATTTATAAACAGTGTTATATATCAATGTTACTTTAACATTGTATCCATCTTGGCTTTTTCTTTTTAGTTTATTTTTATTTTGGTATATTTTCTCCAAGCCGCATACAATAATTAAAGCGATTACGATAGAAGTGTATACATACAATTTTAGATTAATAAATATTTATTAAAATAGGTCATTTATCTCACGAGGAACGAACCGTATTGACCTTTACAAAATAGTCATCAAGATCCAACTTTAGTACATCTTACTCCGCGTCTGTTTGCATCTACACTCTAATGTTTTCATTAAAATTTAGATTAATGTCTTTTGTCGCGTTTCAAGGCCTGTCGGTCAGGGCGGGGCTTTGAATGACTAGATAAACCATCTCATGACATATTAACATCATTGTTCAAGTCATCTAGTGCACTGTAAATGCTTAGTGGGCCTAATACGATTCTCGACTGTCATCAGATGGCTTAGCTACGGAATATGAAGAGTTAATGAAATGAGGAATGAATCATCAATCAGTTTCGCGGTCTTTGTTGAGAGAGACATGCCATTACATTATGAGAAACGATTTATACATATCAGCTTAAAAATAACTAACTAGTCTTTTAATAGGCCATGGGCATCGCGAGCCGTAGACCGTCGACTCGGGATTACGGTGCGGTCGGACTGGCGTGACGACAATTTCCGTACTGCTAACATATTAAGCAATCAACACGAAAGGAGTACCATCAAAAATTATATCACGCGTCGACGATCCGGCGAGCCGAGTTAGAATTTAGAAATCGGCGAATGAATGTCGCGGTGATGTCAGGAAGATGCGCGAACCCATCACAACGAATTGACAAGAATTGATCCGTAGAGTGAGCAACATCGAATTGACGCAGAGTGTAACCGCGTTGGTTCAAGCGAATCTCACATTATATACACACAGCGTATCATACATATATTATATACATTTGGCACTAAATTCATGGTCGATCGTGGTCGCGTATGGGTCACGCGGGGCACAACTGCGGGCGGCAGCATTCGCAGCACGGCGCGTAAGCCGCGCTGGCTGCACACGCTGCACACGCACACACGCACACGTAGTACTGCGGAACTACCATTTGCGGCATGAGTACGGCACGTGCACACAGCTCACGACATGCCAGTGCTTCGATCAGTGCCAGCGTCTGCCGCCGCTCGTGACCCATCAGGCACACCGTCGACTCGCGTACGACGCCGTGCAGCAGCGTCAGGTACCTGCAGACGGAAAACTTAAGATATTTATACCGTATCATTAAGCAATGAATTAGGTCCTTGCCATGGCAACCAACAAGTCTAGACAGGTTTGTGTTACTAGAATACGCTTTTAGGACTCCAATGTCACGTCATATTAAAAACAGGTAAAACCAGTTACTCCATCTAAATACATTACACAGATATTACATCATAAAAGTGCAAGTTTTTGGGCAAATATGGCAAGCCACGTTTCTAACAAAATAAGTAATAATACAATAGGGACACATCATCGGATTATTTGAGTGACATTTACTTTAAAGTATATAATAATATAAAGTATATAAAGTATACAAGTTAACTAACCTGTGCTTTAGCGCCTCTTCTTCCAGGCCAACGAAGTGGTTCCGGAGATATGCCTCGAGCTTGGCTCGTTGTTGTCCCAACTCAGGGAAGTCTATAAAGAATCTTGAGCACATGTAGCGTTCGAGGATCTTTATCTTGTCAGGTCGCGCCGGTCGGTAAGCCTTTGCCAGTAGAGCGCAGTATTTCAGCAGTCCCCCTCCGCGGATCTCTTCGGGCTGTCGGGTTGCGATCAATTTCTCCGTCAGATGCAAAAGGGCTTCGTGGAAGTCTCCATATACCGATTCTCCCACGACAGTAGGATAGAAGTTCTCCCCGATAGGCAGCTGAGCGCACTCGTGGAAGGCAAGTAAGGAGTCTAACGCTATTTGGAAGGAGTCCACAGAGAACTCGAACTGACGTCGCATCGTGTCTACAAACTTCAGTTCCACGGATTTGTGACCTCGGGAAATTCCCAAGGATATCAAAGACCAGCGGTCACCATCGGAGTTTACTCGCACCATTTTGGAAACATAGGCTTCCTTCAGACCGGCTGGAGAAGCCCGACGGCGGGGAGTGGCGGCAGGCATAAGCGTGGCCAGATGTCCCAAGACGGCCGCCTTGACTCGATCACAGTGGCGGGCCGTGGGAAGCTCCGCGGTGAAGATGAGGTCGATATCCGAGTAGGGCTGAGACTGGTCTGTGAGGACGTGGCTCGCAGCTCCACCGTTGAGGCGGACGTCTCTCACTGCAACTCCGGCGCCACCTTCAGTTTGCGAGGCTTCGAGGCGGGCGCGGACTCCAGCCACAAGTTCGCGCAGACGCACGTGCAGCGTGGGGAAGTTGCCGCGGCCGTGGATTGGCACCACCTCGTCCATGACATCGTTGAGCCTCCTCACCTGCTCGTAGCTGAGTACGGCGTGGCGTTCGCCGCTAAAGCAGCCCTCCTCTAAAGAGGTGTAGCTCGATTCGCTCTGCAACAATGTAAAAATAACGTTAATATTGCGAGACTAAATTCAAGACGATATTCAAAATTAAAAAAACAAATCAAACATCTGCAAAAACTGGTGGCCTAAATAACAACCAAATTACAGCACTAAAGGAAACGATTTATTGTTGAGACATCCTGAGATCGAGACGATTATGTCTGGTATTAGCATAGTAATCGCTGCATCAGTTTTGTACATTATGTATTTGTTAATATTATATTGCTTTGCATTCTATCGATATTGATATATTCGATTAAACGTTTTAATCGAATATATCAACACATCTTATTAAAAAAATAAGGGCATATCATGTACCCATTATAGACATAACATTTCAAGGTTAATTTAAATAGCAGTCAAAATATGGCGGCCGATAGAATAATTACAAGTCTGTTAATAATGTTCTGTTAGATTTAAATCACACATGTTACTTTAATGTTATATTTATATTGAAAAACAGACTCATTGACTCGCGAAGAACCTGTATTTGTCTCTGTTTTATAAGAAAATATCTAATTAAGAATATAATTTTGCGCGATCATTTTCGAAAATCTCTGCTAGCAGGATTTTAATTGTAAGTAGACTAGCTATACATCCATGTATCACAATCTATTGGATACTAATTTCCGTAGCAGTTAATGGAAATAAATTGCCCCCACAATAAATACTAATGTGATCCGATTCAAAGTGAATCCATTGTTGTCTTCGCATCAATTTATCACTTGTAATAAATTTTATTCTGTCTCAATAATACATGTATATTAGAGCTTTAATTCTTGAGGAATTTTCTTATATCTTTAACTGATGGTTATTACTTTTATTTATTTTTTTAATTGTATCCATTTTCACATCTTTAACCGAAAATATTATTTAGCCAAACAGCGTTTCATTTGCCACCATTTGGCTTGATACCCTATATAGAAACTTAACAAATACGATAGGAACTCCTTGTCTGTTGAGTGTGAACTGAGGAACAAATCTATAGCACTCACAAATGACACGAATTTATACTTATATGCTTATGTTTTAATTCTTTAATATTATAATTATTAGATATAGTGAGCAAAAGCTTCTATATAAACATAAAAAATTAAGTAGACCACAAACCTTGGTGTCTTTAAGTGAAAACATTGCATAAAGTTATGGTCTATGACCATTTAATTTAAAATTTTATACCCTTTAAGGTTTTGTGTTGAAGATGTTACATTCCGTTACATTAATACAGTTTCTTTTATAGCAAATTCAAATAAGTAAACAGACCATATTATAATTGACTTTTTTTTCATAATACATTTGTAGCATCTTTCTTCTTTCATATACAGTTTTTAATAATCGTAAAATAACACATATTCATTCTGTTCGAAAAATTACTCATTTATTTTTTGGAATCCTGAATAGTAGAAGAACAGTATATAGTAGCAGCCGGGTAAGGTAACTGCTTGAACGGCCTATAGCAGGACCATACTAATATTATCTTGCTATATATGTCAGAATCAGCATTTTATATAGTTTTTCATTAAACTGTTTCACAAAATTATTTGTTAATGTTGCATAATGTTGGCCTACGTGAGATTTAAACGGTTTGCAAAATTGCGTATCAAAATTGTATATTATGGTAATAATTTACAAATCAATATACGCTAACATTAAGTTCTATCAAAGTAAATTGCATGTTTTGTAATCTGAATATTTTATTAGGAAATAGCAATTTACTTGTTTTTATTTTTCCTATGTGTTAGTAAATATCTTTTTTCATGTATAATTTTGCCATTTATATTTTATTATGAAGTCTCCATATAGGCCCGGCGTTTGTCCAGCAGAGAATGACTTTTATTCTATTGTATTTCTGAGGCGTCGGACTTCCAAAATACCTATTATATCTTCTAGCGCTTTCTCTATTTCCAATATTTCCAAGATTTGAGGGTAGGTGGCGCTGGACCACAGTCAACATTGGCTCTGTAATCTATTGCCAAATTAATTATAAAAATAGGAAGTTATAGTGAAATAAATTTACTTTATGTCTTATTATAAATAAATTTGGTTTATATAATTATTAAACATAAGATTACATGGTACAGAGACGACTGTCCCTAATATGCAATTATTTGCCAGGCGCTCTACATTTGTTGTATCGTTGGTTATATTTTTGGGATCGTTTAAAGTACACACAAATATACAGTATTTTTCTCAAAAGTAAACTTTAACTTTTCGTGCCACAGTGGCTATTTATTTTTATTTATACGTCGAATATATGCAATAAGCAAAGTTTGAGTTCAAGAAAATGATTATCATTTCGTCGGATTATGGTAATATAAAAGAAGTCGTCCGATAATCAACAAAAATGATGGCATATAGATTACAATATTATTACAATATTCTGTTATTAATAAAAGTATTCAGATTTTTTTAAAACACGTAACGCACTTGCAAGCTACCAGTAATATAATACATTGGAGATTTCACATATGTCCTATAAATTTAACATATATATCATTTGGGACAAGACAACAAACTGTTTAGCACAAGTAACTATGAAGACAAATCAAAAGTCATGTCAAAAATGGGGTGGGGTTCTTTATGAAGGAAGTCGTGCTCGGTTGCGTTCAGATGACTGCATAAGCTTTATGGTATAAAAAAGAGCGCGTCTATAACATAGATATGACACAACAATAAACCACATACTGATAATAAAACATTTTTTTACCGGATTGAAGTTATGTTTTTACAATTATTTTTCATAATTTCAAATTTAACCGACGTTTCGCGTGCTTCACAGTGTGCGTGGTCACGGTGACTGAAGACAAAAGGTGTTGAATGTCAAAAAGTATCACAGCTGTAGAAAAAGTTGTTTTATCTGTATTTGTTTCCCCAGAGTTGGTATCGACTAAAAATGTAGGGTTTTGGCAGAAAACTTTTGGAGGGTTTGGGATTCTGCCAAAGCACGCGAAACGTCGCGAAAAATAATTGTAAATACATAACTTCAATTGGGTAAAAAATTGTTTTATTATCAAATGTGACGACTTATTGGTCTAGTGGTTAGTACCCCTGACTGCGAATCCATGGGTCCCGGGTTCGATCCCCGGCTGAGACGAACATCGATGTGATGAGCATTTGGTGTTGTGCTTAGGTCTTGAGTGTTTAAATATGTATTTATATGTCTATCTATCTATAATATGTATGTTTATCCGTTGCCTAGTACCCATAACACAAGCTTCACCAGCTTAGCATGGGACTAGGTCAATTGGTGTGAATTGTCTTAAAAAAAAAAAAGTGTGAAAGTTATGTCAATAAAAGACAATACTCTAAACCACATACTGTCAGGTGTCAATGCATATCGCGTGGGGGGTTAAAACAATGCGTTATATATAAAGACCCCATTATCCAGCTGTCATTGACACCGCACTAGAGTGAAGCGATCGTGAACTTCGCGTGTGAAGCGTACCGTGCGAACAGAGCGTTACGGCGTTATTGCCAAACAATGTATGTGGTTTGATGACCTCTTTGCAAAATATTGTTATGTTATGCGATGAAATTCAAATTTATTCCCATAAAATGGTTACAGCGAATGATAATCGAGCGAATTTGTAAATAATTTTATTACCAAAGTTTTCTGTCGATAACAATCTGTGGTTTCCGTTATGGCTACTGTTGACAGCTAGAATGTCAAAGTCAACGTCGGAATCCCAACGAACTTTAACCAAAGTTAAAGTAATGAAACTTTGTTCACCAAATTTAGGTTTTTATAAAATAAAAGGTCATAGTGAGTTTGACCTCTGTAATTTAAATAACAAAACGGGATCACGTCAAGCGTGAATTTAAATAGTCACCAGCTGTCCAGGCACAGTTTAGTTACCATAATAGTATTGGAAACATATAACAATACTAGCTGATCCGGCAAACGTCGTTTTGCCATGTATATTATTTCTAGGAAACATTTTTTATAGATCAATAAAAATAAGTATCTACTATAAAAAAAGGGGTTGATCAAAAGCCTTGGCTCGTACGTAAGAGAGGTTGTGTTACTTTAGGTTTTACTAGATGCTTATAAGTTAGTTAACCTATAAATATATTAGTCAACGATAGAATGACAAAAATCAAACGTAACCTTATAAATTTCATTAAAAAAGCTTTATGCGGTGTAAGTTTATAATTTAAGAATAATTGATGTTATTAGAATTATATTTCCATAAAATAAGTAATATTTTTATTGTGACAGTTGTTCGTGAAATGAAATAATTGTACCACTAAAATTTAAACTGTATGTTACAATGTCACTCAAATTTGTAACGTGTAATAATCATAAGGTTGTACAGAAGGTCAAAATAATTCAATTAAATTGAATTAGAGTCAATTGGTGGAAAATACCACAAGAAACGAGCGCGAAAATATATAAAACATTTAATTTCTTTCAAAAGGTAAAGTAATTCTATAAAGGTAAAATTTATAATAGGCATTATTTCGAAAATGCTAAATCAGAGTTCTTTTTAAATCATATGCGTTTCTGGTTTGCATTGTTAGAAGCATTATCGTTTAACGTTAATTTTAATTTTTTATGTATATATTCGAGAATCCATTGAATTTCAAGTGACTAATACGAATAGTATACAATAATTTGATATAATTATTGGAAACTATTCGTTCGTTTGTTCGGAGTTTCTTTTTCATTGTTCCATACTAGAGTTGCCTGAGAGGAATCGTTAGCGATAACTTATGTAACCTCCTTTTTATATTTATGTTTTTGTATAAGGTAACGAAGTGTAAATAAATTGATAATTATTGCAAATGGTAAATAAATTATTGAAACGTCGTGTTTTGTGAGTTAATTCACATATTCGCGCTTATATCTCTTAGATACGGAAACAAACGTTACTAAACTAAGGCGGTTACAAGTAAAAAATCTTTCGACACATTGTTACCAGCGAATCCAGATTTTTTGGACATGTCACACGTGCCAGAAAGTTTAGGATAACTCATCGTGACTGAAGTGGAGGGCACCAGACCTCGAGGCCCAGGTCTTATCATCACACTTAAGACAGGAGAGTGGAGGAAGTTGAGCGGCGCCACTAACGCGACCTTCAGAAATACGAAGTGCGACTAAATAAGAAGAATCCCTTAGATATGTATCTTGAGTGATCCCATTTCAATTTTAACCTTCCCGTTTAGGGAACATCCCTAAAACAGGCATAAAATAGTGAACAATCTAATTCGAGAAATCCAATCGTTAAAAGTCCTCCCATATTTTATTCTCAAAGATGTTTTCAAATTTAATGATTCCGAATAATGATTTATTTAATATAAATATTACAATCACGTCATCGTGTGCAAAACAACTTTGTACAGGTGTTTGTCACGATTCTGTTTACGTCATCTTTGTAAAGCGTATTTCTTTTCATACAATTTATTTGTCGTTTATCTTTTGTTAAATTGACACAAACATATTGTAAAATTGGTTGTTACGATTGAATATATTTTTGGTGACGATTTGTGGAACGTGTTTTTTCAAGCTAACAGAGTTCGTTTAGTTCATCTATCACTGACCGACGTTCATAACATTTTAGTTTTAATACAAAAATGTATAGTTAATATTTTACTCTATTTTAGGTACCTACATGTTTTTATGCTTATGTACAGTATTTTAGCATTTAAGGTAAAGAGCATTCAATTTTCGTTGTAGGAAAAGTTTTATAAAATACCAAAAAATTGTATAGTTGTTCTTTGATCTTATTTACATTAAGTAGCTGTTATACGATAGTATTTTCAGCAAAGTATTGAATATATCTCTCATAATCTACAGTTAAATGTATTTTTATTAAAACAAAATCTACATTAGTAAGAAATGTAGTAGAACAATTTTTAAATATGTAAAACAATTTTCCTCAACCAATTATTGTTAAAAAAATGTAGCAATTGTGTCTTCCGTTCCAAGAAAATAAACAGCAATCTTTGTATAATTATAGAACAATTGTTTAGTTTCTTTAGATTTTGCTTGTAATACTGAGAATTTATTAAAGGCTCGTAAAGTACGTGATCTTAGCTCTAAGTTATAAAACCTTTGCCGAGTTTAAACGCGCAAGGTACACTAAGGAAAGTCATTTTAAAAGAAATAATTAGATTATATAATATTGTCTTTG